AGCATGACATATTTTGTATCCATTTACTCAGTATAACACCATCGTTTACAGTATATATTATAAAACGAATGGGTATTATATTGTGTTTTTGTGTGAACTAAAAAAAAAGAAAAAAAATGCTGATCTTTACATGAAAATGTCAGAACTGGCCCGGGGCTCAAGCAGTTAACCACTTGAAGACCAAGCCTTTTCTGGCACTTTTTGTTTATTATGTAACAATCAGTATGTTAGAAAATTTCTTTGAGCCCCCAAACATTATTAAATTTTATAAAGTAGAGGCCCTAGGCCTAGAGAATAGTTTGGTGGGTGTTGCAATTTATGTCACATAGGATTTGCGCAGCGGTTTTTCAAACACAATTGTTTGGGGAAAAAAATTTTTTGAATTTGAATGCAAAAAAAAAAGAATACATAACCAATTTTTTGGGTAAAACATAAAAGATGATGTTAAGCTGAGTAAATAGATACCAAACATGTCATGCTTTAAAACTGCACATGCCTGTGCAACGGCGACAAACAACGTAAATTTTACTGTCCACAGGCGATGCTTTAAAAGCCTTTACAGGTTACCACGTTTGATTTACACAGGAGGTCTGGTCCTAAATTTACTGCCCACAATCTGACGTTCGCGGTGATACCTCACCTGTGTGAGGCAATCGCTGTTTGCATGCATGCAGGACCGATGTGTGCGTTCATCTTTGCATGGGGGTATTTTACTTTTTTTTTTTTTTTTTTATTATTTTTACACTATTGCTTCACTACACTGTTGGTGTGATCAAATGCTTTTCATTTTTTAAAATGCTGCTGCTTACATCCAGAGAAACCTGAAGTAACGTATGCTCATCTACATCATGGAAGTGAACAGAGTGGTTCCGGTCTTCACCTCTATGGTCAGCCGGCGGAAGAGTCAGCTGGTTGATCGGGTGTTCAGGTGGGACAGGACAGCCCCATAAAGCAGTGGAAGTCGGTGAGGGGACATCCCCTATTGCTACTTGTAAAAGTGATCCAGCGGCTAGTTAGCAACTAAGATTGCTTTTACAAGAGAGCCAACCACTGTCTCTAAAAACTGGTACTGGGATGATGCGTGCAGCTGTAGGCATTGTACCAGTATAACCACTTGAAGTCCAGTAATGTATGGGTACACCACTGGTCTGCAAGTGGTTAAAAAAAAAGACCTTTTACTGCTCCCAGCCTCCTCCAGATACCTTTTTTTTTGGCGTTGTGGTACAATTTTCCTGTTAGCAGGTGGCTATGTTTGCTCCCCATAGTCCCACTACGTAGAAACGTAGCCACTCTCTCTTGCTTGTTCCTGAGATGATTTATTCAATAAAGACTATGGGACGTGTAGTGTGAGTAGTGCAGTACACGACCCCGAGTAAATTGTACTGATTGTTCCAAACAAACAGGAGTGAGTGGGCAAAGGAGAGGTTCAGGAGCTCTCAGAGGACATTACAAGGGGGCAGAAAAAAACTGGTAAGAACAAAAATGTATTAATTACAGGGCCATTAAGGAAGTAAGTATATGGGCTATTTTTGGAGAATAAGAATATTGTTTAGTATCATTTTATGTTAGTTTTTTTTTGATCTACATATTTGTCTCAGGTCAGTGATTCTGAAAGCATTTTCAGAAGAAGGTGACAGCAACAGCAGCCCCCCCATTTTTTGGCAGTATGTTTCCTTTACAGAAAACCTGAAGTAAAAACACCCCCCACAAAAAAAAAAAAAAATCAGCGGGAGGGACTTCACTAACACTGTGGGGTTTATTTACTAAAGCTGGAGAGTCCAAAATCAGACTCCCTTCTGCATAGAAACCAATCAGCTTCCAGGTTTCATTGCCAAAGCTTCATTGAACAAGCTGAGGTTAGAAGCTGATTGGTTTCTATGCAGAAGGGAGTCTGATTTTGGACTCCAGCTTTAGTAAATAATCCCCTATATGTCCCTTGTGCTGGTGGCTTCAGATTTAGTTCAAATCTTCCACCCTCCAATTACACTCCCCCCACCCACACAATCTTCTAGCGCAGCAGGGGTTAATATAGTTAAGGGACCTGTCACTCTCATTAAGGCCAGGTTCACACCTCTGTGTTTTTGTGTGCATTTTGCAGGAATGCAGTGCATGCCATTTATCATGATTTCCTATGAATCACATTTATGCGTTTTTTGGAAAAGGTCAGACTTCTTTTCCCGCAGCAGTTTGCATTTTTAGTCCAATAGACTTCAGTAGACAGCATATAAAATGCAAGTGATGCATTTTTGATGTGTTTCTTTATGCGTTTTTAATCTGCCCAGCAAAAAGTTGGCCAAAAAATAAAACCGCAAAATGCACTGCAAAAACTGATCAAACGCAAACTGCATAGGTGAGAACCTAGCCTAAGAGTGGTGTCTATGCTCATCCTTTCAACTCTACTCCTCCATTCATAGAAGCTGTGTAACGGTTTCCATGAACGAAATGTGATCGGAAGGTAGAAGGGTCTATTTTCTCCATTTATGAATCGTTTTTCATTCATAGAGGCTATGCTACAGCTTTTATGAATGAAGGCAGTGGGAATAGTCATTCTTGATAGGTATATATGACAGGTCCCTCAGCTATATTAACTCCCACAGCACCAGAGGATTATAAGCAGCAGTACAAGCAAAACATTGCACTGACTGTAATTACTGTGACTTGTGTGTTTTTTTGGGGTTTTTCTTTTTAAACCTTTGACTAAACTTGGGCTTTAAATACCTCTCTTGGAGAACCTACTACAGCAGGACCCAATGATGGCCAGTCATAATGAGCTAAGCTTTGATCCTCCCTTTCAGCAACATCAAAGGCTGAAGCACTTGGTCATATGAGAAGTCACCATGGCATTCCAGAGCAGCAGGTTCTCCAAGACAGTTAAAGTAGCAGTATAGGCAAAACGTGTTTCTTTCATTTTCAATAGAGTAGGGTAACGTTATAACCATTATTTGTTTGTTTCTTTCTTGTTTTTTGCCATGCGTTACTTCACTTACTGCCCAATCGCCAAAACAGGAAATGAGAGGAAACCTTTCCAAAGTGAGGAATCCCTGTTTGTCACCAGAACTAATGCCCCAAAAGAAAAATGTCACCTCAATTCTTATTCCGGTGGCAACTCAAAATTTGGGATTTTCTTTCACTTTCATTCTCAGTGATACCGGTAAACAGTACAAATAGGGTGAACCTCCTTAATCCTTTTCGCTACCAGGTCCGTAAGTCGTACAGACCTGACAGTGGGGTGTTTTTACACACAATTCAGTGGCTGCAGTCACCAGGATTGTCTAAAACTGACAGGCAGACTCTTGCCTGTCAGGTAGAAGCATTTGGTTGGCTGCGCTGCCACCCATTTGCTTCCACAGCCCCCGGTAATGGTGACTTTGTATCCCCTATGTGATGAAACAAAAAAGTTGTTAAAAAAAAAATTTTATTGCAAAGAAAAAATAAAGTTACACACAAACACAACATCCCACCCCCAAAAATTTGGAGTTCCCCCACATATATGCACGTACGAACGTAAATGCACGCGTTGGGTCGCCTACATGTGAAAACGTGCAATACCTCCTCCATTCACACTAAACTGATGACCTGTAGGGGCTTTTGAAGCATCGCCTATAAGAAATATAGGGAACTGAAGTTTGTCGCCATTTCACAGATGCACACAAGTTAAGATTTGACATTGTTGTGTATCTATTTGCTCGGCGCAACCTCATCTTTTATATTTTCCCAAATATTTGGGTAATTTACTGGGTTTGTTTGCCCCAAAATTCAGTGTGTCTGTACTGAAATTTTACATTTTCTAAACCTAAAAAATTGGAACTACCACTATTTTATTCTCTAAGGTATCTGCTTTCAGAAAATATATGTTTGGGGGTTTTGTGTAATCTTTAGGCCTAAAACAATTTTTTTAAAACGTGTGCAAAAACTGCTCTGGCAGCCAAAGGGTTAAAGGGGGCACAAACTGCAATAAAAAGCTGACAGGTGTTCCAATCCCTCTCCACTCTATCCAAAACTAAAAAAAAAAAAAAAAAAATTATACATTTGCCTCTAGTTATACTAAGTATCATACGGGCTGTTATTTCTTTTTAAGTCCATTTAAAACAAAAAATCTCACATAACCATATTAGACTATGGTAGTGGTACATCTATATATATTATTTTCCCTTCTCGACTTAGTATGGAAATATATAACAAATGCAGTGTCCACAGAAATACAATAGCCCAAATTGTGCGATGGGAACAAGCTGCTACATGCAATCCCTACTGACATGACAACTCTACTTTTGAAATCAAATCCTACATTTATGGACCAGAAATCAATATCCAGCATGACCCCAAGCATCCAAAACAAAAAGACATACATCTTGCATTGAAAGCTGAATACATAAACTGTCTTTTTATTTTGATCTGCCGATTTTTAGTCCCCAGTGGTATGATCATACATACTACAAATATTGCTCTAAAACCTGCAATTCTAATGAAAAAAGTAATGCATCATACAGATTTACATTTTCTGCTATTGGAAATGTGTATATACGGATATATTTATATGGAAAAGTATATTATAAAAATGGGAAGAACTCTTAAAAGACAAGTTTGCAACAGTTGGACTTATTTACCAGAATGTTAAGGAATCCCACCCATAGTAATATTCTAATCTTTCATACATCACGCAGACAAAAAAATAAAAAAGGTTTAATGTTTACCATTATGAGCAGATCCTCCTTCATACACTTTGATAAATAAAGCCCAGGATCTGCATCATACATAAAGAGAAAATAATGAAAACTCAACTAATAAAGAGAAATTTAGCCTAACGCTTTACTGTCCCCTTTTACCAAGTTAACATTTATGACAAATCAGTCAATGCCACAGGAAAACAGGTCTATTAATAGGCTTCTTCCCATCAATTTGGTGAAGCGTATCCATTCTGACTCTTGGTTGACACAAAGCCCTTATCATAAGTGAACATGAAACATTCAGAATGGCTTGGACACATCACACACCTTCTCTTAGGTTTGTAGCCAAGGATGGCAGAGGCACAGGGCAGCAGTAGCCCGCTTCTCAGGGACTAGTTCCAACATGGGAAGCAAGAAGTCTGAAAATGTGGTGCTATCCTCTTCAGACCACTCATATTTCTCTCGAAGGACATCAGCAAGACCCCAAGGCTTAAGCTTTGAAATGTGTTTGAGGTCTCCCTTCTTTGTGAAGAAATCCTTTGAATATTTTCCAGCTGCAATAAGCTTGCGTGGGATCTGTCCCAACAGTTCAATGATCAGAGCGATGTGGTCTTCATCACGAGAATAGTCCTCACCAGAGTGAGGTTCAAACAGATAATCTCCAGTTGCCAACTCAAAGGCCATGCATGCTGTACTCCAGATATCTGCTGGTGTACTGTATCCGTAACCAATGAGCACTTCAAGAGATCGATATTGTCTAGTCTGAATGTCCTCTGTAAAATGCTTCTGTACCCAACAGGCATTACCTAGGTCTGCAACTTTCACCTTTATTTTATCTGCATTCTGAGGATCAAGAGGGTTTAGGAGGAAGTCGGAAGCTTTTACTTTCTCCTCACTGTCCTCTGTTTTTGTAGATGCCTTCTCTTCTTCAGTCACCTCATTCCTCTGCTGTTGGCATGCCTCCTCCACTTCACTCTGATGGTCCTGCTGATTAACAGACTGCAGAGGTAGCATACCTTCACCTGGAATGGGATCGGGGCCTTCATCAGGGCTGCATTTTAATGAGGAAGAAGCAGAATCTGATGGCCCTGAATTGTCTCCACTAGTAAGGCTCAAAGATGAGGATAATGTGTTAGAATTTGTCTGGGAGTCACTTTCAATTGGGGATGTATTACACGGTAACCCGTTAGCATTGATTTCTGGTCCCTCATAAGGTTCTAACTTGACCTCAGTCTCCTGGAACTGGGGGGGGAGGCTGTCTTCCTCTTCTTCTTCCACATCCATTCCTATATCTTGTACCCGTTTCTCCAAGAGTTCGGCCTGACGTTTCTGCTTTTTCTTTAGTTTCTTCTTCTTGTTTTTTGACAGCTTGATGGAGGGTTTGGGCTGGGGCGCTGTACTCACCACCGATCCCGAGGGAGGAGGACCACCTGAACGGAGCCACTGAGTGGCGTCAGAGGCCAGACGTCGAATGTAGGCATCATTGACACACAGCAAGATATTCTCTGGCTTGAGGTCGGTGTGGATGATCTTACACTTGGAGTGCAGGTAGTCCAGACCCTGAAGGACCTGCCGGATGATGCTCTTTACGCAGGGCAGCGGCAGTCCTTGATAATTGGACTTGATGATCCACTTCAGCAGGTGGTGTCCCAACACTTCGAACACCATGCAGATGTGGGTGCCGTTGGTTCCAGAGATTTTGAAGTCGTCCAGGAGATGCACCACCCGCTGTTGCCCGGGGTCATTGGGATCAGTGTCACGTACAGCCCGGAGCAGTTTGATCTCGTCCAGGGCGGTCTCTGTGTAATGCTCTGCACTTTTCACCACTTTGAGGGCCACAAAATGTTTGGCCTGGAGGTCCCAGCACAGCCACACAGTAGAGAAGTGGCCCCAGCCCAGCTTCCGGATGACATGGTACCGGTCATGGAAGAGGTCCCCAATCTTCACATGGTGGTATCCCCCCTTACAGTAGTCATTGGGGTCCTCCTGCTCCTCATCATCAGAGCCCAGCATCTCCTCCTCCTCCTCCTCTTCCTGAGGCTCATCTTCCTGAGGATCGGGGGCAGAGCTACGCGGTGGAAGCTCCGGCTTCTTCACACCTTTCTTTCCCTTCGCCCGCTTCTTGCGAGCCTGGAGCGCCAACACTTTCCTCTCCATGGCTCACCGGCGGCTGGAAGACACATGCGCCGTGACCCAACGCTACTCCGACTTCCCTACTTCCGCCCAACGGCCGCGCTGCGTTGTCGCCACACCTCTTCGTCGCTTGAACAAGCCTCCTCATTGGTGGACGGGAATATCCGGCCGTGTAAGGAGGCGGCGCTTAGAGCGATATTTGCTGTACATTGTATTCCTTAACCATCGTATCTGAGTGTAATGAACAGCGCTTGTCCCTGGGGAGGGAGTATTATAACACGAGGCGGCGTCTACCAGCCGCCATCTTTGTACACCCAGCGAGGCGGAAGCACGTGGGGTCAGAGGAAGCTGATGGCTGCTGATAGAGGGCAAAGTAGCCCGAACTAAGCGAAGTCTTGCTGTACGGTGGTGGCGTAGCACTCAGTACACGCAGTAAGTGATCTTGGTTATGTGTATTGTATGGCAGGAGGATCGGTGACTATAACGGAGACTGTGGAGCTACTGTACTCGACCAGGGGCTGGACGGGGGTCCCTGAGCGATATCTGTCTCTCAATAATTGTATATGTCAGAGATCATTGTAGCGGTTCTCCTCCCACTCAAACTAATGTTAAGGGCCCTTCTCCCGCTGATCCCTAATACACCCCCCCCCCCACTGATCCCTAATACAAGGGGTCCACCCTCCCCACTGATCCCTAATACAAGGGGTCCACCCTCCCCACTGATCCCCAATACAAGGGGTCCGCCTCCACTGATCCCTAATACAAGGGGTCCACCCCCTCCACTGATCCCTAATACAAGGGGTCCACCCCCCCCACTGATCCCTAATACAAGGGGTCCACCCCCCCCACTGATCCCTAATACAAGGGGTCCACCCCCCCCACTGATCCCTAATACAAGGGGTCCACCCTCCCCACTGATCCCCAATACAAGGGGTCTGCCTCCACTGATCCCTAATACAAGGGGTCCACCCCCTCCACTGATCCTTAATACAAGGGGTCCACCCCCTCCACTGATCCCTAATACAAGGGGTCCACCGCACCCCCCCCCCACTGATCCCTAATACAAGGGGTCCACCCCCCCCCCACTGATCACTAATACAAGGGGTCTGCCCCCACTGATCACTAATACAAGGGGTCCCCCCACTCCACTGATCACTAATACAAGGAGTCTACCCCCTCCACTGATCCCTAATACAAAGGGTCTGCCCCCACGATCACTAATACAAGGGGTCCACCCCCCACGATCACTAATACAAGGGGTCCGCCCCCCACGATCACTAATACAAGAGGTCCGCCCCCCACTGATCAGTAATACAAGGGGTCCGCCCCCCACTGATCAGTAATACAAGGGGTCCGCCCCCCACAATCACTAATACAAGGGGTCTTTCCCCCCCACGATCACTAATACAAGGGGTCCGCCCCCCACGATCAATAATACAAGGGGTCTTTCCACCCCCACGATCACTAATACAAGGGGGTCGCACCCCCACCAATCACTAATACAAGGGGTCTGCCCCCCCACGATCACTAATACAAGGGTCCGCCTCCCACGATCACTAATACAAGGGGTCTGCCCCCCACGATCACTAATACAAGGGGTCCGCCCCCCACGATCACTAATACAAGGGTTCCGCCACCCACCGATCAGTAATAAAAGGGGTGCGTTCCCCACCGGTCACTAATACAAGGGGTCTGCCCCCCCCCACCCACCGGTCACTAATGCAAGGGGTCCGCCCCCCACCGATCACTAATGCAAGGGGTCCGCCCTGCTGATCACTAATGCAAGGGGCCCTTCTCCCGTTGATCACTATTATAAGGGGTCCTTCTCCCGCTGATCACTAATATAAGGGGTCCTTCTCCCGCTGATCACTATTATAAGGGGTTCTTCTCCCATTAATCACTAATATATTAGTTATCAGGGGGAGAGGGACCCCTTATATTCGGTTCCTTCTCTTTCTGATCATGAACATAAGGGTTTCTTTCCCGCTGATCACTAATATAAGGGATCCTTCTCTGTCTGATTACTAATATAAGGGGTCCGCCTCCCACTGATCACTAATAAAAGGGGTCCTCCCACTGACCACTAATATATTAGTGATCAGCGGGAGAGGGACCCCTTATATAGGGGTCCTTGCTGATCACTAATATAAGGGGTCCTTTTCCCGCTGATCACTAATATAAGGGGTCCTTCTCCCACTGATCACTAATATAAGGGGTCTTTCTCCCATTGATCACTAATATAAAGGGTCCTTCTCCCGCTGATCACAAATAAAATGGGTCCTTCTCCCGCTGATCACTAATATAAGGAGTCCTTCCTCTGATCACTAATATAAGGGATCCTTCTCCCACTGATCACTAATATAAGGGGTCCTCCCACTGACCACTAATATAAGGGATCCTTCTGCCAATGACCACTAATATAATGGGTCCTTCTCCCACTGACCACTAATATAAGGGATCCTTCTGCCAATGACCACTAATATAAGGGGTCCTTCTCCCACTGACCACTAATATATTAGTGATCAGCGGGAGAGGAACCCCTTATATAGGGGTCCTTCTCTTGCTGATCACTAATATAAGGGTTCCTGCTCCTGCTGTTCATGAACATAAGGTTTCCTTCTCCCGCTGATCACTAATATAAGGGTTCCTTCTCCCGCTGATCACTAAGATAAGGGATCCTTCTCCCGCTGATCACTAATATAAGGGGTCCTTTTCCTGCTGATCACTAATAAAAGGGGTCCTCTTCCTGCTGATTACTAATATAAGGAGTCCTCCTGCTGATCACTAATAAAATGGGTTCTTCTCCCACTGATCACTATTATAATGGATCCTTCTCACGCTGATCACTAATATAAGGGATCCTTCTCCTGCTGATCACTAATATAAGGGATCCTTCTCCCGCTGATCACTAATACAAGGGAGTCCTTCTCCTGCTGATCACTAATATAAGGGATTCTTCTCCCGCTGATCACTAATATAAGGGGTCCTTCTCCCACTGGTCACTAGTATAAAGGATTCTTCTCCCGCTGGTCACTAATATAAGGGGTACTTCTCCCGCTGATCACTAATATAAGGGATCCTTCTCCCGCTGATCACTAATACAAGGAGTCCTTCTCCTGCTGATCACTAATATAAGGGATTCTTCTCCCGCTGATCACTAATATAAGGAGTCCTTCTCCCACTGGTCACTAGTATAAAGGATTCTTCTCCCGCTGGTCACTAATATAAGGGATCCTCCCGCTGATCACTAATATAAGGGGTCCTTCTCCCGCTGATCACTAATATAAGGGATCCTTCTTCCGCTGATCACTAATATAAGAGGACCTTCTCCCGCTGATCACTAATATAAGGGATCCTTCTTCTGCTGATCACTAATATAAGGGGTCCTTCTCCCGCTGATCACTAATATAAGGGATCCTTCTCCCGCTGATCACTAATATAAGGGGTCCTTTTCCTGCTGATCACTAATAAAAGGGGTCCTCTTCCCGCTGATTACTAATATAAGGAGTCCTTCTCCCGCTGATCACTAATATAAGGGTTCCTTTTCCCGCTGATCACTAAGATAAGGGATCCTTCTCCCGCTGATCACTAATATAAGGGGTCCTTCTCCACTGGTCACTAATATAAAGGGTCCTTCTCCCGCTGATCACTAATATAAGGGATCCTTCTTCCGCGCTGATCACTAATATAAGGGATCCTTCTCCCGCTGATCACTAATATAAGGGATCCTTCTTCCGCTGATCACTAATATAAGGGGTCCTTCTCCCGCTGCTGATCATCACTAATATAAGGGGTCCTTTTCCCGGATCACTAATATCTTCCTTCTCCCGCTGATCACTAATATAAGGGGTCCTTCTCCCGCTGATCACTAATATAAGGGATCCTCCCGCTGATCACTAATATAAGGGGTCCTTCTCCCGCTGATCACTAATATAAGGGATCCTTCTCCCGCTGATCACTAATATAAGGGGTCCTTCTCCCGCTGATCACTAATATAAGGGATCCTTCTTCCGCTGATCACTAATATAAGGGATCCTTCTCCCGCTGATCACTAATATAAGGGATCCTTCTCCGCTGATCACTAATATAAGGGATCCTTCTCCCGCTGATCACTAATATAAGGGATCCTTCTCCCGCTGATCACTAATATAAGGGATCCCGCCTGATCACTAATATAAGGGATCCTCCCGCTGATCACTAATATAAGGGATCCTTCTCCCTCTGATCACTAATATAAGGGATCCTTCTCCCGCTGATCACTAATATAAGGGATCCTTCTCCTGCTGATCACTAATATAAGGGATCCTTCTCCCGCTGATCACTAATATAAGGGATCCTCCCGCTGATCACTAATATAAGGGATCTCCCGCTGATCACTAATATAAGGGATCCTTCTCCCTCTGATCACTAATATAAGGGATCCTCCCGCTGATCACTAATATAAGGGGTCCTTCTCCCGCTGATCACTAATGCTACCAACCTGACCTATTTAGGTGAATAGGGCTGCACTACATCGGCATGCAATGCACATTGTGGCACAGTGCTTTGGCTTTTCAGTAGTTGAAACAGGCATCCCAGAGACAATATGTCACATCTGAGTATCCTGTTAAATGCCTCTAAAATGTCATCCACTGTGGATTGCTTTTCAGAGGAGCAGCAATGACAGCCCCAAGTGTGAAGGAGTCTTTATGGTTTTGTAATCATTATAGGTGTCTGAATGCAAACCTTATCAAATATGCTCTCTGTTCATACTGCTTGTATGGGAATGATATTAGTATTATCCTATGCATAGATTTGGCTTCTTCTTAGCATAAACAATAATCTGTATTTTTTTTTGATGATCTTTATTAAGTGAAAGGTCAGCCATGGCATCCTCTATTCTTCGTACATTAAATGGACTATTTTCTGTGTATAAACCACCCGGTGTTATCTGGAAGAATGTGCGTGACACGTTGGAGATGGCGTTGCTGAAAGGTACAGTTACTTACTTTGTTAGAGCTTTTAGAAAAATAGCAGATTATTTCTTTGCAGTTTAAAGATGTTCTATGGTCACAACATACATGTTCATTTAATAACGTCAGTATTGTAACAACTATACAAACAATAGTTTTATTTATTTGACAATCCAGGATAAGCTCAGTTGAAAGATCTCCTGTCATGTTGTGATTGCAGCCTGTCTGCTGGCCATGTCTTTGCACACCGTTCTTCATTCCCTGCATGCTTTGCAGCTTCTTCTCTGCTGGTTTTTTGATTCTTAAAAGTGTTACTAAACCCATGACCCTGCATTCACTATATCTGTTCTCCCCCAGTACGCAGAACATGGAAGTGCAATTATTTTAGTAAATATAAACTGATAAATACCTTTTCTCATCAGCAGTATATAGCAGTCCTATGACTTCTATCAGTGTTCAGCCGAGCACTAGTTAATCTTGTAGTAGGAGTTTTCATACTCCTCTGACTGTCCTATGAGGCTGCATGACCCCTGACCCCTTATTGGCCCTGTGCTGATCACATGCACCCTCCCAAAGAAAAAAAAAACCCTCCCTAGCAGTACACACTAAACTGAGCATGTGCAGAGTGACTCCAAGAGCTCTGTACTATCAGATGGATTGGGGACAGTAGAAGGGGGAGGATCAGAGAAGACAGGATCAAACTTCCTTTTTACATAATGGGAAGGATTAACCCCTTAGGTTCTATAGTGAGTATAACAAGCATGCTTTAATGCAAATACAGACTGATTTTACTGTTGTGGGTTTAGTAACATTTTAAGGACCACATATCTCATAGTACCTTGCTTCCTGCAAACAGTGATTCCTATAGTAACTCTTGAAACTCCTCCCCTCTGCACTTCTGTAGTTCAGAAAGCAGGCTCTGTGAAATGTATGACACAGCAGCTCCTACTCCCAGGGCATAGTGAATACATGTCACAGAATGCAAAGAAATAAATGTATGGAAATCTTTACAAAACAAGTTTACAAACTTCAAGATGGTACAGATTATTTGGCGCTCGAAATAATTGAAACACAATGTGGAAATAAATATGATTTTTCATTTTGACCAGCAATACGCATTAAATTTGTTATTTAATTTAAGTTATTTATGAATAACCTTACAATTGTGCAAAATTTTATTTTCATAATTTTTCCTTTTTGTTTGTTTAGAATTGAACTCTCTCCATCAACAGTCATCTCAGCAGAAGATGCTTTTTCTCCCAGAAAGCAGTGAAGGCTGCAGTGGGGTAGAACTCACCAAGGTGGTCACATCTGTCCCTTCATTAGTTAACCATGGGCTTGGTAAGTACCTTTCAATAATTTAATAATGGATGGTCCTTGAAAAATAACACAGGTGTACCTCGGTTTACAAATGCCTTGGTTAACATATGAAAATCCATTGAAAATAATGCCTCGGTTTACAAATTTTGTACAAATGTTTTTCGTAATACAAAGTGTATGTCGGTGCCGATTTTTAAATGCAATTTCAGGCTTTTTTTTTCTTCATGATAGCTCACAGAATTGGCTGTCACTTTCCCTAGAGTTAAAGGAAGTTTTGTTTCTTTTAAGAAACTAAAAGGAAACATTGTTTCTTTTAACTTGGGAAAATAAACTAAAAGGAAACTTTCTTTCTTTTAGCTGGGGGGGGGGGGGGGGGGGGGGGGGAAAGTGACAGCTGACTCTCTGAGCTATAGTGAAGAAAAAAAAAAAAAGCGGTAATTACATATAAAAACCAGCACCATAATAAATCAAAAAAAATGGCATGGGGTCCCCCAAAATTTAAAAAAATAAATCCATACCGGACCCTTATCCGCCATGCATCCTGGCAGGTCAGGAAAAGGGGGGAGGGGGGAGGACGTGCAAAAGCCCCCCCCCCTCCCCCCCCTGAACCATATCAGGCCACATGCCCTCAGCATGGGGGGGCGCTTTGGGGTAACAAGGGCCTCTTCCCCACAACACTGGCCGGTGGTTGTGGGGGTCTGCGGGCAGCGGGCTTGTCACTCTCTGAAAGCCCCCTTTGACAAGGGGCCCCCCCCCCATGTGAATGAGTATGAGGTACATGGTCCCGATACTCATTCACAAAAAACAAAAAGTGTAGTGTGAAAAAAGGCAGGATACGGTCTTTGACAAGTCCTTTATTAAAAGAAAAAACTAAAAGAATGTCCCCCACAGTAGATCCAACGTCAATCACGATGCCCGCCGCCGACCCGAAAAAAACATTTTTTAAAAAAGGCTCCGCTTCCGACGATGGCTCCCACCGTCTGTCTGCTCCGGTGGTTTGACAGTTCTTAAATAGGTAAGGGGCAGGGCCATTGCGGGACATCACCCCCATGTACCCCATTCTCATTCACATAGGAGGGGGCAGGTCCTGCCCCAAAGCACCCCCCCCCCCCCATGTTGAGGGCAAGTGGCCTGACATGTTTCGGGGGGGCTTCGCTCGCCCCCCCCCCCCCTTTCCTGCATGCTCATATAAGGGTCTAGTATGGATTTTGTGGGGGGGGGGGGTCCCCCATGCCATTTTTTTAAAAAATGCCGGCAATTCTTTTACATTCAGCAGTCAGTGGGGAACCACACATGGTTGTCACTACTAAAATACTGCATGACTTGATGAAAAAACTCATACAGTATTTTAGTAGCATTTACCGTATTTTTCGCTCCATAAGACGCAAGCTGACCATAGGACGTGCCTAGGTTTTAGAGGAGAAAAACAAGAAAAAAAAAATATTCTGAAACCAATGGACTGCGGACACAGTACAGGGGATGACCAGAGACTGCGGACACAGTACAGGGGATGACCAGAGACTGCGGACACAGTACAGGGGATGACCCAGAGACTGCGGACACAGTACAGGGGATGACCAGAGACTGCGGACACAGTACAGGAGATGACCAGAGACTGCGGACACAGTACAGGAGATGACCAGAGACTGCGGACACAGTACATTTTGACCAGAGACTGCGGACACAGTACAGGGGATGACCAGAGACTGCGGACACAGTACAGGGATGACCAGAGACTGCGGACACAGTACAGGGGATGACCAGAGACTGCGGACACAGTACAGGGGATGACCAGAGACTGCGGACACATTGATGACCAGAGACTGCGGACACAGTACAGGGGATGACCAGAGACTGCGGACACAGTACAGGGGATGACCAGAGACTGCGGACACAGTACAGGGGTATGACCAGAGACTGCGGACACAGTACAGGGGATGACCAGAGACTGCGGACATGTACAGGGGATGACCAGAGACTGCGGACACAGTACAGGGGATGACCAGAGACTGCGGACACAGTACAGGGGATGACCAGAGACTGCGGACACAGTACAGGGATGACCAGAGACTGCGGACACAGTACAGGGGATGACCAGAACTGGACACAGTACAGGGGATGACCAGAGACTGCGGCTTTTACAGGGGATGCCTTCGGACACAGTAACAGGGATGATCCATGAGACTTTCCAGTACAGGGTTTGAGCCAGAGACTTCGGACACAGTAACAGGGGATGACCAAAACTGCGGACACTTTTCTTACAGGGCGGGATTACCAGAGACTGCGGACACTCAGTACAGGGTGTGACAGAGACTGACTCAGGGATGACCATAGACTGAAGACACAGTACAGGGATGACCAGAGACTGCGGTACAGTACAGGGGATGACCAAGACTGCGGACACAGTACAGGGGATGACCAGAGACTGCGGACACAGTACAGGGGATGACCAGAGGACTGCGGACACATAAGGGGATGTAACCAGAGACTGCGGAATCAGTAAACAGGGGATGACCCGAGACTGCGGACCAGGTACAGGGGATGACCAGGGACTGCGGACACAGTACAGGGGGGGACCAGGACTGCGGAACAGTACAGGGGATGACCAGAGACTGCCAGTACCCCTGCGGACCCCCAGAGACTGCGGACCATATCAGGGGATGACCAGATGACCTCGGCATGGGGGGGATGCGGAAACTTAGGGGGTGACCAGAGCCTACTGCGGACACAGTACACTGTGACCAGAGACTGCGGACACAGTACAGGGGGAGACTGCGGACACGGGCTTACACTCTCTGAACAGAGCCCCCCTGCGGACACAGTACAGGGGGGACCAGAGACTGCCACAGTACAGGGGGTGACCATGAGTACTGCGGACACAGTACAGGGGTGACCCGAGACTGCGGATTCAGTACAATGCCCAGAACGGACACAGTAAGGGGTAGAGTGCGGACAAGTACAGGGATAGACCGGACTGCGGACAAGTCCTCAGGGATGACCAGAAGAAAAACTACCAGACATGCCCCACAGTAGATGACCAGACTGTCACATCAGGGGATGCCCGCCGCCGACACCGAAAAAAACATTTGCGGAAAAAGGCTGACCGCTTCCGACAGATGGCTGACAGAGACTGTCGGGCAGTAACGGTGGTTTGACAGTTCGGACATAGGTAAGGGGATGACCAGGGCCATTGCGGGACATCACCCCCCATGTACATTCTATTCACATAGGACTGGGGACACAGGTCCTGCCCCAAAGACCCCCCCCCCACATGTTACAGGGCATGTGGCTGCGGACTTGTTACAGGGGATGACTTCGACTGCGACCCCCTTGACCAGAGATGCTCACAGTAAGGGTTAGTATGGATTTTTTTTGGGGGGGATGGGGGACTGCCCCAGTGCCATTTTTTAAAAAATGCCGGCACAGTACTTTTACACTTCGGCAGGTCAGTACAGGGGATGCCACAGATGCGGACACAGTACAGGGGAAGAGACTGCGGACATGACTTGATGACCAAAACTCATACAGTACAGGGCATTTACCAGTAGACTTTACAGGGGATGACCATAGACGCTGCGGACACTGTACCATAGGATGACCAGTGCCTAGGACACAGTACAGGATGAAGAAACACAGTAAATGACCAGAGATTCTGAACAATGGACATGCAGACTGGACACAGTACAGGGGATGACCAGAGACTGCGGACACAGTACAGGGGATGACCAGAGACTGCGGACACAGTACAGGGGATGACCAGAGACTGCGGACACAGTACAGGGGATGACCAGAGACTGAGGACACAGTACAGGAGATGACCAGAGACTGCAGATACAGTACAGGGGATGACCAGAGACTGCGGACACAGTACAGGGGATGACCAGAGACTGCGGACACAGTACAGGGGGATGACCAGAGACTGCGGATACAGTACAGGGGATGACCAGAGACTGCGGACACAGTACAGGGGATGACCAGAGACTGCGGACACAGTACAGGGGATGACCAGAGACTGCGGACACAGTACAGGGGGATGACCAGAGAACTGCGGACACAGTACAGGGGATGACCAGAGACTGCGGACACAGTACAGGGATGACCAGAGACTGCGGACACAGTACAGGGGATGACCAGAGATGCGGACACAGTACAGGGGATGACCAGAGACTGCGGACACAGTACAGGGGATGACCAGAGACTGCGGACACAGTACAGGGGATGACCAGAGACTGCGGACACAGTACAGGGGATGACCAGAGACTGCGGACACAGTACAGGGGATGACCAGAGACTACGGACACAGTACAGGGGATGACCAGAGACTGCGGACACAGTACAGGGGTGACCAGAGCCTGCAGACAGTACAGATGACCAGAGACTGCAGACAGTAAAGGAGATTACCAGAGACTGCGGACTTTTGGGGAGGGAAGGGGAACGGGTACCTGAATTTGACAGGTACCCGCTCCCACTTCCGCGGAGTTGTCCTTCCTTCTTCTTCCCGTGGCGGCTTCTGTGACAGCCGGGTGCCCACTGTGCATGCGCAAGAAGCGCTGCGCTTTGTGAATGGCCCGGAGCCTTGGGACCTGTCGTGTCCCAGAAGACACCAGACCATTCACAAAGCACATCACTTCTCGCGCATGCGTAGTGGGCACCCGGCTGTCACAGAAGCCACCGCGGATAGACTGAAGTGCTGGAGCGAGGAACAGATACGGTACTACAGGAGAGAAGAGAGCTGAGCGGCCAGCCCGGTATTCTGACATGGTGGCGGCAGAAATACCAGACCGGCCACTTTACATTCGCTCCATAAGACGCACTGACATTTTCCCCCCTTTTTTGGGGGGAAAAAAGTGCGTCTTATGGAGCAAAAAATACGGTACTTTTTTTCTGACCTCAGGAACGGATTAAATGGTTTTCAATGCATTCCTATGGGAAGCGGCGTTTTCGGTTTCCGAATTTTTAGCTATATACGAAAAGTCCTGCAGAACTAATTAAATTCGTAAACCGAGGTATTTTTTACGCAGGCAGTTGGATCCTGTACTAATCTTCACAGCAGACATTCCCCATCCTCTTCCTTTCTGTGAACTTCTGGTACAGCTGAGGTTAAAGTGATTATAATCCCTTACCTCGTAAAACAACCCATTCAGTTTAAAATAGAAATGAACGGTAAAACATTTGTGTATAGATATAAAAAAACATTATAAATACCATTTTCACTTTTATATAAGTGATCACATTCCATCTGTTCTCAGCTGCATAAGTGTTGGGGGAAGAGAAACATCAGCACACTGATCTTCCCAGTGACATATTGTGCAGGGGAGGGAGGGGGGGCTGATCTTTGGACAAGAGCTGGCTGAGTCCCCAGCACAGCTAGACAACTGACCATGCTGTGCTTTCATGCTTAGTGTGGTCGGTTTTTAATAGGAATGCAGTGGGACTGGCAAGAACACCAGGGATTTCACACAAACAAAGCAATACAAAGAGAATAGGATACTTTTTCATACAAGTACATGATACAGCAGGCACATATCAGGAATATGTAATGTTGGGTTTACATATTCTGTAATTGCTCCAGTCTAAGCTGCTGTGAAATAGTTGCTCTGAAGACCTGTCCCTCTTTCTTCTTCCTCCATTGAGAAAAGTTATTTCATTGTTTACATTGCCTGTAACACTCTCAATCTCTGATGAGTCACAGTATCCTTTTCCCCCCCCATTTACAGATTGTGTTACAGGATGTGAAAGCAATAAAGGAATATTTCTCATGGAGGAGATGGAGGCAGGTCCTTGGCATAACTGTTTCAGAGCAGCTCATCCCAGATACTGAAGCTATTAACCCCAGCAGCAGCAGAAGTTCAGAGACAAGAAGAGGACCTTTCATCGCTGCAGTGAAGGGTTCTCTAGGATCCAGTTGCCTGCACAACATGGGACATAACTCATTACTGGTAAGTAATGTTACTAAAGCTGTACAACAGTGGTTCTCAACCTTCCTAATGCCGCGACCCTTTAATACAGTTCCTCATGTTGTGGTGACCCCCAACCATAACATTATTTACCCAGTAATTATAATTCATGAAGTGTCGTTTTACCTCCAATACTGCTGCTTTTTAACACAGTAACTGCTTTCAACACAGTAGCTGCTTTCAACACAGTAACTGCTTTCTACACAGTAGCTGCTCTTTACACATCGGAAATATGTGTTTTCCAATGGTCTTAGGTGACCCCTGTGAAAGGGTCGTTCGACCCCCCAGCGTTGAGAACCACTGCTGTACAAGGAAGAAAAAAAAAGACCTAAACTTCAGCATTTGTCTTGTTTTACTATAAGTACAGTTTTTGTTTTACAAATAAACATTTAATACATGTTAGGATTCCCAAAGCACTATCAGTTAACTAAAGAGACAGCACAGCTGTAGCAGCCTACCTTCTGATTGGCTTTGACTGAAACTTTGGAAAGAGTTGCCTGAGAAGTCACTCTGTGTTTACATTGCAGCTTGTACTTTGAAAATAGGCATTGCACAGTATACTGCTGACTGGTCTTAGGAAGACCTCTGAAAAAGAGGCTAAGGTTATGCCTAAAGGCAACAAAAAATCTAAATATTATTATGCAACGTTTATCTGGTTAATAAAAAAAAAATATATATTTTTCAACTTTTTTTATTGCTGACCATAATAAAGAAAGCAAAAAATGAGTCATTATACATTGCTTTTAATGAATACATGTACTGGTACATAACACCGGTTTCATCTTGGATATCTTGTCTCATATTTTGACACATTCACAGTTAAAGGGCCAGCCTACACGTTCCTGAAGATTGGTGTAGGGCACAAACTTGACAAGTTGTCATCTGGGGTCTTGGGTAAGTTACAAAATGTCACTGCATTAGAGTTCGAATTTAGTCAATCTTCCTAAAATTGAAGTGTAAGCAAATTACTTAAAGGAGAAGTATGTTTTTTTTTTAAAAAATAATACCTAGGTGGATGCAGCATCGATCCGACTGCTGCATCTGTCTCCCGCTGGCTCTGAGGGCGAGAACTGAGCGATCAGACACTGCTGATCACTCAGTTCTTGCTGCTGTCAGTCACCACTGTATGTTCTGCCGCATACGGTCGGGATCTTTCCCCAGCCTGGACTGGCTGAGTGACGTCAGCCCACAGCAGACTATGGCTCGCTGTTGGCTGAAAACAGGTCACAGGAGTGCAGAATGAACAGCACTCGTGGTCCACTGGAGCAGTACAGCCAAGCAAGCTGTGGCTGTACTTCTCCTTTAATACACATTTAAATGCATACTGTATGATAACTGTCTACCTGTTTTAGGATTTGTAATTTTGTTCAGCTAGTGATTACGAACTGCCTCCCCACACCACAGTCAGGAAGACCAGTCTGCTACCTCCTGGTTCGGCTTATTGCTTGCTGGGTCACTTCCCTGGGTTTTCATTATCCACGCAGCAAGCCAAGCATGGTTTGCAAGTTTCTATGTGTTTTTTAATACATAATCGCCATTTTGATTGTCAGGGAGCACTTTGCACACATTCCACACAAGGCCTGAAAGTTGTTCACATTAAATGGGACCGCTGCCAGGAGTGTGGAAATTTTTGAAAAATCGGTGCCCCAATCTACTTGTCCCTCATGACAATCTACTTGTCCAGATAAAAAAAAAAAATGTTTTAACCAAAACTGTATTTAAATCAGAGGTGATATTAGGAATGTCTGGGGCTTTTAAAAACAAAAGGGGCTCTATGACGACTTAAACGTTTAATATTTTTAACATTGTGCTGTTTATCTCCTCCTCCCCTCCCTGCCTGTCTGTCTGTCTCCAGCACCGCACCCAGGGACTAGGACGGAGGGGAGAGACCTTGCAGTGTAATGAGCACTGATTGGCTGCTCCTCAGGAACGCAATGGGTCAGGGCTTATCCCTTTCGCTGCCAGAGCTGTTTTTGCATTTTTTGCACAAGTTTAAAAAATCATTTTAGGCCTGAAGATTACATAAAGCCCCCTAACATTATATATTTTCTGAAAGCAGAGACCCTATAGAATAAAATAGTGGTATTTCCAATTTTTTTATGTCATGATATTACCGCAAAATTTCAGTAATAAATACAAGTATGTTCATTTTAGGGCACGAAAAAGCAAAAATCACCCTATTTCTTTGTAAAAACTAAAAGATGAGGTTGCCCCGAGTAAATAGATATCCAACTTGTCAAACCTTAAATTTGTGCGTGCTCGTGAAATGGTGACAATCTTCAGTACCCTAAATTTTCTATAGGTCGACACTTTTAAAGCTCCTTATAGGTCATCAGTTTAGGGTTATGGAGGAGATCTAGTGCTAGAGTTATAGAGTAATTGCTCTCAATCTGTTGTACGCGGTGATATGTGACATGTGTATCGCAATAGCCGTTTTCATGCGTAGGCGCTCCAGCGTGTGCTTTTATGTTTGTATGTGCGTATATGTGGGGGTGGGGCCTCAATTTTTTTTTTGGGGGGGGGGGGGGGGATGGTATGTGCTTGGGTGTAACTTTGATTTTTTACAATAAAATAAAATGTTTTGGTTTTTTTAAACTTTTTTTTTTTTTTTCATCACATAGGGGTATGTGATGATTTTTTGGTGACAGGTTCACTTTATTGAGGCATCCAGGTTCTAAAAGACCCTGCATGTCTCCCATGTGCTCTACTGAATGTAATGCAGTGAACATCTGGCACTGTGTGAAAGCAATCGAGAGGCAGCGATGCCGCCCAAATGCTTCTACCTGACAGGTGAGATGCTACTTGTAGGGCTAAAGGTAAAAAAAGCTACCTGCCCGATGCCCGTATTACATGTCCCGGGCATCGGGTGATAGAAATCGAACATCCCTGACTGCTGAATGGCACTACAGCAATATATTTGGTACAGGGATATTGAACCAAATGAATGACTGGTGTGATGAAGCTAATTACTTATTGCTCAGGAACCAATCAATTTTATACTTTTATGTTTGAACCTGATCTATAATATGAGAATTGGATACTGATTGGTTGCTATGCGTATTAGGAAATGTTACCGTGTGTACACTTTTTTGTCGAATATCAGAGCTATTGTTGTTTGACACCTACATCAGCAACAATCTGCTATGCAATTTTAGTTTGATGTATTTTACTCATTATTTTTTTTTTTTTTTTGCAGTGTTTGGAATTGGCAATGGATCCAAGATGCTCACAGCCATGCATGAGAATAATTATACCAGGGTATATGTTCTGAAATTAAACTGTATGTATAGCTTTTTTTTTTTTTCTTTAGTTTTGGATAAAGAATGGAATGAATAAAACTTATGTCAATTTTTTTTTTTTTTTTTTTTGTGCTGTCTTACCTTTGCTTCCCACTCTGAAGACACAATAGAAAGTGAGAAGAAAGCTCCACAAATTAATGGGAAGTCCCCTTTCAGACCATTGTTACCGTAACAGGTGTTTCATTGGAAGATTTACAATTCTGGTGACAGATCTAAAATATGGGATTTCCCATCACTTGTCCCTGTGACAGTGGTCACCAGGACAAATAGGGAATCTGCCCAGCTGGGTTACTCAGAGATAAAAACTTGACAGGGGTTTTAACCTATCCCTACTCCAAAAACTAAATAAAAAAACAAAATGTTTAGCTATATATACACTTAAATCGTTGCAAAGACTTAGGAACATTGTCCTTGTTTATCTATAGTTTCATTACGCTTCTTTTTCTCTATAGGATTACACAGTTTGTGGAACATTTGGTAAAGCTACTGCAGATTTTTCAGATGCTGGAAAAGTGGTTGAGAAGACTACATTTGGTGAGTGAACACATTTTAAATCCTTATATGTACTTTTATTTAAAATAGACGTCTAGCTGAAATGTTTTTAGTTTTCAATGGCATGGTAAAGAGTTAGATTTCTTATTTACTGCTATTTGTAACGTCATAGTGAAAGTCTCCTGTCCCTGGGTGGTCAGCCAATCACCCACCTGTGGATATATTTAGGGGTATCTAGTGAAATCTAGATAAAATGGGTATCAAACCATTACTTTTTCATTAGTCATTGCCCTGTTTAATCGTGTTTTAACATCTTGAAAATGTAACACAAGGGACTTCTATGAGTGAGCTATGATTTGTTTGGGGGCTTAAAGCAATCAATTTCACCACAGCAATCAAGATCTTTAGGATTAGTTTGTTTAATAGGGCTTCTATGGGATCCTTGTATCAGTTGCAATGTATATATAAGTGAGTAAATCCAGATTCATAGCCTTTGTGCCCTGGGGCATGACCACCAAACATGTAATATCATACCCTCTTGTCCACAGTCCCAAAAGCAAACAGGAGAGTAGTTGGGTACATACTTAGCAATCTAAAAAGGAATTAAATACCAATGAAATAACACATGTACAGTGTCTTGAAAAAGTATCCATACCCCTTGAAAATTTTCCACATTTTGTCATGATACAGCCAAAAACGTAAATTGAGTTTTTGGGGATGTCTCTACCAGCTTTGCACATCTAGAGAGTGAAATCTTTGCCTATTCGTCTTTGCAAAATAGCTCAACTCTGTCAGATTGGATGGAGAGTGTCTATGAACAACAATTGTCAATTGTTGCCACAGATTCTCAATTGGATTTAGGTCTGGACTTTGACTGGGCCATTCTAACACATGAATATGCTTTGATCTAAACCATTCCGTTGGCTCCTGCTCATTGCGATTCAGCGATATGCACGAGAGCTTTGGCTCCTCGGGGACTCTTCCTCCTCATTGGCTGAGATGGCAACGGGAGCCATTGGCTCCTGCTGCTGTCAATCACAGCCAATGAGGAGAGAGAGGAGGGAGGGCCAAGCCACAGATCTGTCTGTGAATGCATGCTCAACTCAGTGGTGCAGGAGCAAGCCTGCTTGAGTGCCCCCACAGCAACCTGTTTGCTGTGGGGGCAATCGGCAGGAGGGAAGAGCCAGGAGCACTGGCACGGGAGCGAAGAAGAGGAGGATTGGGGCTGCTTTGTGCAGAACCACTGCACAGAGCAGGTTAGTATGAGATGTTTTTGTTATTTTTTTTACAAAAATCAAATTACTCTAATATCACTTTAATATAATCAAACGTTAGAAGTGAGTAGAAATCTGTGAACATTTTTTGAATCCACCATGTAAATCTACTGAGAGATTTTTGCCCAGGTGGAAACTAAGGGAACCTCACTAGACACAAAAAGTAGGTGAGGAGAGAGTACTTTGAGCCCCACACCTTAAAGCAGAAAATACCTATATCTCAGCACACTACAAACTGAAAACTATTTAATTCATATTTAATATTCACAGCAAACTCACTTGTCCGTCCATGTCTCCATCACTTTAAAAAACACCCCCTAGCAGTTCTAGCTGTGGACATCTTGAGTAAGGGTAGATGTGACGTTTACATCTTGGTATCCATCTGCCCTTAATTCAGGCATGCAAGCAGGAGGGTGTGCTTAGCTGAGCAAACCCCTCCTCCAGATGAAAGAAGAAAATGCCCATGAAGACTCCTGAGATGATATCATTTTGGCCTAGGCAGAAACCAGGAAGCAACTGAAGAGAAAAAAAAAAAAGGTTAAAACCTGTAAATGGGAAGGGTAGTATTATGATGCTAGGTGAGCTAGGGTGGATTGGGGATATAAATAATAAAGTGGGAATGGGAAAAGGGTCTGTAAAAATGTGTCATAGGTAAATCCATGAGTCAGTGAGACTGTGCAAAATAGCATATATATATATATATGTGAATCGCACTCCCGCCATGATCACGCTCCAGGAGCGCGTGCACTCTCCCTGGGCACATTCCTTCCCTGAGCTAGAAGAAAGCAGATCCATGTGAGTAAAAGCAGCACACATTTTCAGTAAAATCACAGCTATGTCACATTTAACCCCCTGATCGGCTCTCTTGTTAACCCTTTCACTGCCCTGTCACCAGTGTCATTAGTACAGTGTACAGACTTTTTTTTTTACTAATCACTTTATTAGTGTCACCAGTGACTTCAGATAGCGTTGGCAGATTGCCCGCCACTACATCAGTCATCACATTTAACCCCTTCATTGCCAGGAACCCACTTGCATACACAATAAACCTCCATTGCTAGTATAGTGTCTGAATGGATCAATATCTTTGATCAGAACTACAACAGCGTTCACAATAGTATAGTGTCCCCAAAAAACAGCATTAGCGGGATCAGCCCCGGCACCTGCCAGCACTTGCGTTTAGCCCCTACGCTTACCCCCCCTTCTCCCCCAGCAAGTGCAATGTCAGTAGGTCACCGTCACTTGATACATTGCACACAAAACCGCAGCGTTAGCAGAATCAGGCCAGATCTCTGCTAGTACTTGCAGGTAATTTTTTTTGTAGTGGTTCCTGACAGCCAGGAGCTCTTTTTCCTGTGATTCGTGCGAGGTACCTATAAATATAGTGGCCAAAACGTCCAGCGAAAGATACTCTAGTGAAGAGGCCTACAGGATTCTGACCATGTCAGATGAGAGCGAAGGGGAAGTCTCACTGACAGAATCAGGCTCAGAATACTAACCTGTAGAAAGCAACGGCACCCTGACAGCTCAGACGATGGAGTAGAGGTCCCTGCTAAGGTCAGGCATAGCTGACCCCGTTCTCAGGTTGCTGAAGTGTTACCATTGCATGATTATCATATGCAGCTGAGTGCCAGTACTAGTGCCGCTCTATTTTTTGGTGAACTGACGAGCACCAGCGACCTAGGACATCCTGGTCTTTTTCATACCAGCACTGCATTATCACTTGGTGACGTGGCGAGTCCCATAAGTGCAGTACAAGTAGTGTCCCGCAGCTACCAAGAATTCAAACACAGACCTGTAGAGCCCATAGTGTCCTTCCAGATCTGCTTGCAAATTCTGATTGGCAGCCCACAAATTCTGCAGCACCCGTACTTCCCGCATTTACTGCCCAACCCGGAATTCAGGTGGAAACAGAAAATTTAACTACTCCCCTTGATTTTTTGGAGCTGTTTTTCACGGAAGATCTGTATACATTGATTGTGGATCAAAGCAATTTATATGCACAACAATTTATCACCGCCAACCCAAATTCAAACCTTGCCAGACCATTTGCATGGAAACCTATTATGGTTTCCGAATTTAAAGTTTTTTTGGGCCTAACCCTCCATATGGGCATTACTAAAAAAAATGAATTGCAGTTGTATTGGTCCACAGACCCGATTCATCTTATGCCCATGTTCTCTACTGCCTAGGCCAGGCATAGATATGAGAATATAATGCGATTTATGCATTTCAATGACAATACACTCTGTTGTCCTCAGGGTGACCCTGAACTTGACCGGCTCCACAAAATTCGGCCCCTCGTAAATCACCTTAACCAAAAATTTGCAGATGTCTATACTCCCCAGCAAAACATCTGTGTTGATGAGTCCCTAGTTGGTTTTTCTGGCTGCCTTGCTTTCAAACAATTTCTCCCCAGCAAGCGTGCCAGATATGGGGTCAGGATGTATAAGACCTATGAGAGGGCAACAGGCTATACATGTAAGTTTCGGATTTACAAGGGAAAAGATTGTCAAGTGGAGCCCCCCGGACTCAGACTACATGGGGAGCAGTGGCAAGATAGTTTGGGACTTGGTGTCATCCTTTTTCCATATGGGGTACCATTTATACGTGGACAAATTTTATACAAGCCTGATACTATTTAGACACTTACACAATCTTGGAATTGGCGCGTGTGGCACCGTTTGACCTAATCGCCAGAGCTTCCCCCAACGGCTTGTAAATTCCCATCTTAGAGGGAAAAAGCCTGCCTTGAAAAACAATTAATTGCTCACAGTGAAGTCGAAGGACATACGGGATGTTTTCATTCTGTTTTCTATTCACGCAGACACGACCATCCAAATTTCCACGGCTACTGGTGAGAAGCCCCTCTGTGTCCGTGACTATAACCTTAACATGGGAGGGGTGGACTTCAACGACTAAATGAGATTTAGTTTCCTGAAAAGCCAGACGCTGGTACAAAAAAGTGTCTTTGTTTATTTCAGTTGGCTCTGTATAATGCTTTTGTGCTTTACAAAGCAGCTGGACATCCTTCCTAAAATTGCAGGAAGAGATCATCACGGCCTAACCCAATGGACACCCCAAAAAACGTGTCTGTAGCAGACACGGAATTAGGCGTGATACCCGCTTTTTTTTTTCCCTCCTGTCATGGCCAACCTGGTCTCTGCCTCAAGGACTGCTTTCTTGGGCAGTCCCGTGCCATGGGGGGAACCTGAGCATGCAGCCAGTGTTTCTGCCAGCTGACCATAGAACTGATTGGAGATCGGAATGGTGCCAATCATCTTTATAGTCTAAGAAATCGGAACCTACGAGCATTTCATCAATTCTTTTTCACAGGATATAAACCGCCATTTTTAAATATTGGTGAGACCAGATGATGTAAGGGCAGAGGAGATACAGTATCTAGAGTATTAATAGACCCCAGTTTTCTCAGAAAAGAATAACTGTCACTGCCTATTGCAGTCACATTCCCTATGATAACAATAAAAGTGATAAAAAAAACAATGAAAGGGATAGTGTAAAAATAATAAAAGAAAAATAAAAACAACTAAAAAAAAGCACCATCCCTCCCAGCATGCGCAAATGCGTGTGCACGAGTTGACCCTGTGACGGTATGTAAACATCGGTTGCACCATGCATGTCAGGTCGAAGGGCAGTAATTCTAGCACTAAACCTCCTGTGTGAATTTAAAATGGTAGCCTGTAAATGCTTTTAAAGCATCGCCTATGGATATTAAAAATGTATGCAGTTTGTCCTGCCATTACTTGGGGCGTGCACAGTTTTAAAGCATGTCATGCTTGGTATCTATCTACTCGACATACCATCATCTTTTACCAACAATTGGCCAACAATTTTTTTATAGCACAAAAAAATAATAACCGTACAGGCGATCAAATACCACCGAAAGAAAGCTCAATTCGTGAGAAAAAAGGATTCAAATTTCATTTGGGGTGCAGCGTTGCATGATCACGCAATTGTCAGTAATGCAGTACCGTAACGCAAAAAATGGCCTGGTCAGGAAGGGGGGTAAATCCTCGGGAGGGCAAGTGGTTAAAGTAACACCCATGGCAACAGATTTTAACTGATCTCCTTCCATTGACAGAGTATGACAAGTGCAGATAGTGATGTAGATTAAAGTGCATTATTTCATTAGACTGTGTATTTAGAACATCTGCCATCATGGCTCTCTGTGTCTTTCTGTAACAAAAATGGTAATTGAAGTGCCACAGCACTGCCAAGAGGTTCACATACAACTTTATTCCAATAAAAGTTCGGGGGACAATCAAGGAGTAGCCACTGCATTTCAGGAATCCATAAACACCCTCTTCATCATTGCTTGATTGAACACAGTGAATAGACTAGAAGTGACTTGGACCTTTGATTTTTATTTCTACCAGTGTGATTGTAAGCACAGTCTTTGTCAGCAGCTGGCTTGGCAGCTCCATTTTTGTTCTATTACAAGCCAAGACAACTGTGAAGATTATCTGGGTGTAGAAGCTGCCTGCCTGGGAGTCAGATTATTTACATCAATACTTAAAGATAGCAGTATTAATAGGATAACCTTTCAGGTCTAGTGCTACTTCTCTATCCTCAACTCTGTGTCTGTCTGTTCTGGTGACACTTCCCCCTCATTTCTTGTCCTAGTGTCATTGGGACAGGAAGTGAGGATAAACCTCGGCAATGAGGACATAAACAATGAGACTGGAGTTGTGTATAAATGTTGTTTTCCAATCAATCCCTCCTTTATTGCCCAATATAGGGTACATAAATGAACACATGTAAAGAGGTGATGGTTTAATGTAATTGAGGTAAGAGGGTTATGTATAGTCACTGTCTGCAAAATGGAATGCATACTTTATTAACCACTGGCCTACCGGGCACTTATACCCCCTTCATGCCCAGGCCAATTTTCAACTTTTAGCACTGTCGCACATTGAATGACAATTGTGCGGTCATGCAACACTGTACCCATATGACATTTTTATCTTTTTTTTCACACAAATAGAGCTTTCTTCTGGTGGTATTTAATCGCCTCTGGGTGTTTTATTTTTTTGCGCTATAAACAAAAAAGTGCAAAAAATTTAAAAAAAAAGTTTTTTCTTTGTTTCTATTATAAAAGTTTGCAACCAGGTAACTTTTCTCCTTCACTGTTGTGCGTTGATGAGGCTGCACTGATGGGCACTGATGGGCTACACTGATGGGTGGCACTGCTGGGCAGCACAGGTGGGTGGGACTGCTGGGCACAGGTGGGCGGCACTGATGGTCACTGATCATCCGTGCCCTCACGATCAGTGCCGATCACTTCTCTGACAATTGCCGGTTATCGGCAGTATTTTCCTCATGCTGTGACAGCGTGAGGAAAGTGCAGCCGATAACCGGCAACTGTATTTACCCGGTGATCTGCTGTGTCATTGGTTACAGCTATCACGTGGTAAAAGGCCGCTGTGATTGGCCGTTTACCGTATCACGAGATCAGCTGTGTCTGTAGGACACAGCGATCACCGGCGGGCGCGCAAGGGGCATGTTCTGGAGTGACGTCCATGGGTGTTGTCCCAGAAATAGATAACCACGCTGTAGCTGTCTTTCGGCTATAGCGAGGTAGGGAAGAGGTTAAAGTTAGAAAAAAAAAACAGGCCTAGACTATTGGACCTGGAAAGTGTTCTCTGGATCAATAAAAATATTCTGTACAATTTTTACTTCTCTTTTGTGCAGACTTATATGTGAATGTAGCCTAAACGTGCACTTTTTGTATTATCTTGTGAATATATTTTGAAACCTGCATGCTTTGCAAACTAACGTAAAGAAACTCACAAGGCAGCAGTATGCTAGCAGACACTATCATAATACTAATGATTTCCCCATTGCTGGGTCAATCATTATACTGCATTCAATACTTAGACTAACTCCACTTTTTTTTGTTGAGAAAAATCCCCCTGGGTGATCCAGGTACATTGCAGGGATTTTAACAAGCTTTGGTTCACAGTCCTACCTGTTTTTGTTTGCCTGAGTGCTGTCTGCTGAGTGGATCTGAATGATAGTGACCTTTTCATAATCATAAACTGATGCACTTGCAGGGCTCTAATGAGGAAAAAGTAGGGTCTGCATCCCTTTAGAAATTATCCTATTTATTTATGCTTTAGAAGCATCTCACAAAAATGAAATCTGACCTGTATCTAAGTGCAGACTTCTAGACAAATCAGTGAGTCAATCACCCAAACAGGAAGCTACATTTCTGGGGGGTGTTCTGTTCACCAATGGTGTATCGAACACCTCCAGGTCGCCATATTGAATTGAATTTTGCTGAAAATTTCAGATCTGCAGACTGTTTTCTCCCCCCCTCCTCTCTCCCCCCCCCCCCCCTCTCTTTCTCTTTCTCTTCCCCCCCCCCCCTCTTTCCCCCCCTCTCTTTCTCTTCCCCCCCCCCCTCTCTTTCTCTTCCCCCCCCCTCTCTTTCTCTTCCCCCCCCTCTCTTTCTCCCCCCCCCCCCCTCTCTTCTCTCTTCCCCCCCCTCTCTTTCTCTTCCCCCCCCTCTCTTTCTCCCCCCCTCTCTCTCCCCCCCCTCTCTCTCCCCCTCTCTCTCCCCCCCCTCTCTCTCTCCCCCCCTCTCTCCCCCCCCTCTCTCTCCCCCCCCTCCCCCTCTCTCTCCCCTCCCTCCCCCCCCTCTTTCTCCCCCCCCTCTCCCCCCCCCCCTCTCTTCCCTCTCTCTCTCCCCCTCTCTCTTTCTCCCCCCTCTCTTTCTCTCCCCCCCTCCCCCCCTCTCTTTCTCTCTCTCCCCCCCTCTCTTTCTCTCCCCCTCTCTTTCTCTCTCTCTCTCTCCCCTCTCTCTCCCCCCCCCCTCTTTCTCTCCCCCTCTCTCTCTCTCATTAGATTTGTATGTGATTGGTTGTGAAAAGTAATTATTAGCTCTGGCATTTACATATCAAGGTTCAGCATATCACTAAGGTAGTAGGTTTGATTTATATTTAAATTTTTCTCCACTCATAAAAGTGAAAATACTAATGCTAATCTCTTATTTTCCCCACAGATCATATAAGCAGGGAGAAATTTGAGCGTGTGCTTGCCATGATTCAAGGAGCCAACCAAAAGTCTTTGATAATGTAGGTACTACTTCCGATCTGTCCAGTTATCTTAAAGTTATAGTGAGGTCATGTTCTTTATTTAAAAATGTGGTCCCCTGTGCAGGCTTAGGTCATAATGTACTAGTGTGTAATGTATACTACTACATTATGACAGACTTGCCTGCAGACGGAGTCCTCCAGCACTGTGCTGACACGGCATTCCCTGGTCTCCAGTGGCTTCCATCTTCACCCGGTTTTCCCTGTGGGTTCCTGATCTTCAGCTACTTGAATGGCCGGGCCGCAGTTGTCATCACACCCGCACATGTACAATGGAGTCACATCGCTGCAGCACGCAGACAGGGCCATAAATGTGGTCTGAGCTACACATGTGAAGCTCAGATCACATTACCCGTTGACAGGAAGAGGGGACATTTATGACAGAAAAGGCCACTAGGGTCTCTTCTGTTATAAAAATCCTGCCTTACCTTCTATATGGCCAGCTTTTTATTCTTTATACAGCAATATTATTATGTACACACGTAAATGCAGTTTTTAGCAAAACTCTACCACAACTTATCCAGACCTTTTTCTTATGCGGTCTGTGTTTAGACCCACATTTATCTATATAAATTGTGTGATTTGCACAGGATGAATTTATAATTGCAGCTATAATGCAGGAGGCATTGAATGTACTGACATCAGGCAGGTAGGTCTTCTGTCAGTTATGATGAACAATCTGCCATCCTGGGAAAGAATGCTAAGCTTACTAGCACTTGCCAATTAATACCAATTAAAGATTTTTTAGTACATAAACCTAAAAATGTCTGTCACTAGTGCTACAGACTTGCTTTGCGTCTAAATATTTTTAAATTGATGTTTTTCTAAAAGTTTATCTGCTGTATAACTTAATAAATTAGGTGTCCTGCTTGCTTCTTTGACCCCTGTTGTACACAGTCTTGACTTTTGGCCAAGCAAATGCTAGCATCCTCTTTTTCCTTGAATGAAGCCCCACGCCTTGTCATTTAAATATCATATGGCAGTACTTGCCCTGGCTTCAGACTCTGCCATGTAACAGTTAAGTGAAAGAGGTTGGGACTCATTGTTTTTGGACACTTTTACCCCCTTTCTGTCCAGGCCAATTTTCAGTGCTATCACACTTTGAATGACAATTGCGCAGTCATGCAACACTGTACCCTTATGAATTTTTTAGCATTGTTTTGAGACAGATAAAGCTTTATTTTGGTGGTATTTATTCACCACTGGTATTTTTATTTTTTTTTTTGCTATATAAATGAAAAAGTCCAAAAAATGTGAAAAAAAAAGTGTTTTTCTTATGAACTTGCTTCATAAATCTTGACCAAAATTTATTCAGTTATCTTTTTAGTAAAAATTTAGAAAAAAATTTTTTTTACATTTGTATTTTATTTTTTTACATTTGTTTTTTTTTTTTTTTTTTTTTTTTTTCTTTTACATACTGTCACCCTAGCACCCTAGCAGTACAGTTTTACACTGATTGCTTTTACACCTATAAAGGCTGTAAAAGCAATCATTTCTCCTTCTCTCTGGCTGCATTCTTGTATACTGTGTGAGCTGTGATTGGTCACAGTTTGTCACATGGTACAAGGCTGTTGTGAATAGCCTTGTACCATGTGACCTCTGTGATCATTCACATATTTCACACGTTGTAAGCAATGATGTCAGAAGTGCTGCGCGCTCCCAGGGAGCGTGCACAAGCAGGGGGCGGGGAGGCAGTTTATAAACGGCCAAACGCCCCTGCACTGCCACTGTCCAAAACCGTTTATATACAACGGACGGGAAGTGGTTAAATAAATTATTTTAAAGATTAAAAAATAAGGCACTACCAGTGTACACCAATAATAATAATAACTGGTAATTATAACCTGTGACCTTATGGCTGATTCTTTCCCAGGCACAGTAATGTGGATCTTAAAAGTGAGGAAGCATATGACCTGGCAGTACAAGGCCAGCTCTGTCCTAAGGTGAAGAGCCCACCTCTCATACTGGCATTGCGATGTTTGGAATTTTCTCCACCTGACTTCACTCTAGGTATGTTGTTTATTGAAGAATGGGTACCAGCTGCATAAATGTGTTCAATTTAGTAGTGGAAATATCACCTTTTTTTACTTTGTTACTTAAACTGCAAGAAAAACTTGGGTTAGGATCTTGGCAAACAGTCAATTTCTGACTACGCTTTTTTTGTTTCTCTTCTGAAAAAGCCATCTTGGATCAGCTCCAGCAGCTTCGCACGCTGGCACTTTCTTCACCACCAATTGCCACCCCATTTGACTATACTGAACGTCTTGTGGGACAGCTGCTGCAGCATCACTTGCTGCCAAATGGCTTCACTCACTGACTACCACCCCATGTGTCTCTTTTGAATACCTTGCGGGGTGGCAAAGTTACACTCTGCCAAGCATTTACATAGTGTGTTAACATAGGGAAAATCATGTGACCACAATAGAGAATTTCCTCAAAAAAATTTATTGCACTGGACACTTTATATTTTATGAAATTTGGATGACACTGGACACTTGGAATATTCACTTCTTCATACAATTTATGTATTTTGTGTGAATGCTGAGCGCTTTATACTAATCATGAATTTTGATGTAGTTTTAATCCTTTTACTGCCAGGTCTGACAGCAGGAGTTTTACACACAATCTGGTGTGTAATCCAGATTCCTGCCTGTCAGGTGGAAGCAGCCACCAGTAACGTGCTGCATTGCAATACATCCAGTGAGCCCTGAGGAATCATGCAGAGTCTTTTAGACCCTACATGTCTCAATAAAGAGAACCGGTCACCTAAAAATCATAGGAGACTTTGTGTTCCCTGTGTGGTGAAAAAAATTAGGTTAAACCCAAGCACATAACACCCCCCCCCCCTCTCGAAAAATTTTATCCCCCCACACACACCCCCCCACACACACACACACACACACACACGAGTGTAAACGCAGGTATTGGGTGAGCCTATGTGTGAAAACGTCGGATGCGATACACGTTGCACATTGATATGCACACCATAGTGCGAGCAATAATTCTAGCACAAGACATCCTCCGTAACACTAAACTGATGACCTGTATGGGCTTTTGAAGCATCCCCTATAGAAAATATAGGGTACTGAAGTTTGTTGCCATTTCACAGGCACACACAAATTTATGGTTTCACATGTTGGATATCTATTTACTCGGCACAAACTAATTTTTTTATATTTTACCAAACATTTGGGTAATGTATTGCCTTTTTTGCCTTAAAATTCACTTTAGTGTTTTGGGGTTTTTTTCACAGAAATTTTGCATTTCCTAGAGCTTTGCGGTAATATCGCATGACATAAAAAATTAAACTAACCACTATTGTTATCCTCTAGTGTGTCTGCTCACAGTTTCAGAAAATATGACATAACGCTTACTTGGGGGTTTTGTGTAACCTTTTTTTTTTTGTAAACGTGTGCAAAAATGAGGGATGAAATACTAAAAATGGCTCTGGCAGCGAAAGGGCTAAAGGTATAGGTTTGTTTTATATTGAATTACCATCTATATCCCTGTTGAGTAGATTCACTAACTGCTGTCTGTGCCTTTCAATCCCATTGACAACTGTCTTCCCTTCTGAAAAAGCAGGAATAAACTAATTTTTTTTAAACCACTATGGGGGGACAGACAGAATTACTTTTATGACAGAAGAGACCCTATTGGTGTCTTCTGTCATTGAAAAAAAAGGTTGCTGCTCTTCTGGCCTGTCAGTGGTAATGTACACTGAGCCCCACATGGGCAGCTCAGAGTACATTTTATGGCACCACTCACCATTGGTGTCTATTGCTAAAAATGCCTGTCAGTATGAATTACAAAGTTTTTTTTTGGCAGCTCAGAGTACATTTTATGGCACCACTTTTGGCGCAGTTTTTTTGAGTCGCTGACTAGAACAAGTATGCCGCCAGTAAAGTCAGAAGTCTTTATAAGCTCACTTGTTCCAGGTCAGTGAGTAATGAAGCCAAAAATACTTGCATTTTCAGTGGCGATGGTAATGAGAGACTGTGGGGGTTATTTACTAAAACTGGAGTGTGCAAAAATTGCTCTGCGCAGAAACCAATCAGCTTTCAGGTTTTATTGCCAAAGCGTATTTGAACAAACTGAATTAGAAGCTGATTGGCTACCATGCACAGCTGCATCAGATTCTGAGTGCTCCAGTTTTAGTAAATCATCCCCTATGTGCTTCCTCTGTTTAGACTTCTTTTAAGTGTAAGTAGCTCCATGTTTAGCATGTATAGAAAGCTGTTTTTCTTCCTACAGAGATCCGCTGTATGCATGAGAGTCAGCAGCATATCCGAAAAGTAATCCACGAGATTGGACTGGAGCTCAGATCCACTGCAGTCTGCAATAAAGTTCGTTGTACACACGGGATGGCCCTTTTACACTGGACTGTGCCTTAACACGAGCGCATTGGGATCTGGAAAGCGTGTGCAATGCCATTAAAGAATGCAAACCCAAAACTGAAGAAATCCTGAAAGAAAGGATTGACTTTTATTTGAGGAACACTAATTCAATGGGGTCACATGACAGTGATAGGACTCCATCAAGCTGAGGAAGTTCAAAGCCTTAAAGTACAATTCCACAGATGAAAAACATATGTGTACATTTTTAACTTCTTAACCGCTTGCCCTCCAGAGGATTTACCCCTTCTTCACCAGGTCATTTTTCACGATATGGCGCTACGTTACTTTAACTGTCAATTGTGCAGTCATGCAATACTGCACCCAAATGAAATGTATGTCCTTTTTTCCATAAATGGAGTTTTCTTTTGGTGGTATTTGATCGCCGGTGGTGTGTTTTTTGTATTTTTTTGCACTATAAACAAAAAAAGACTGACAATTGTGAGAAAAAAAACCAATATTTTTGATTTTTTGTTATTAAACATGTGCAGTAAAAAAAAAATAAAAAAAAAACAAATTTCCTCATAAATTTAGGCCAAAATGTATTCCTACATACTTTTCTGAAAATCCCAATACGTGTAAATGAATTGGTTTACGTGAAAGTTATAGCGTCTACAAATGGCGGTGTATATATACTGGAATTTTGTTTTTATACTGGTAATGGCAGCGATCAGCGAATTATTGAGGGACTGCGGCGGGCATTCTGACATTGGGGGGAACTGACTAACTGCCACTGACATCCCCAGTGACACTAATACAGTGGTCAGTGCTATTAAAAAGAATTGACACTGTAGTAATGGCACTGGGCAGGAAAGGGTTAACATCTGGGGCAATCAAAGGGTTAACTGTGCTGTGTGCTGTTTACTGTGTGCTGTGTATGTCTTTCACTGTGTCAGCACATTGCTTTGTATTGCGGTGCTATGCAGAGCAATACAAAGCAATGTGCAGGAGCTGACGGAAGAGATCTGTATTGTTTACATACAGGTCTCTCCCCCCGACAGTGATACTCAGCAATCGCCAGGTGCCAGCGGGGAATCACTGGCCGGGACCCGGTTATTTACAGCTGAGCCCGTCAATGCACGCGCCCCCCCCTACCCAGAAAATGCAAAATCACATATATATACTGTATATATACGTGATTTTGCACAGCCCTTCCGCCCTGTAGCAGTATTTCTGCTATAGGGTGGCGGGGAAAGTGGTTGAAGGATTACTGTATTCTTTACAGTTATTCTTGTGGGCCTAACACCTACTGCATTGCACAGGCATGCAAATCACTCTACCACTTCCTGGTTAAATTTCACTGAATTACCTACCTGCTCATTGTGCAGAGGTGGTGATGCTAATTTATTGCCCACTGAACAAGCTGGTGGGAGAGAGGTGACAAAAAAACTAGCATTTTTGAACAAGGAGATGTGTGCCGTTTTTCCTGTGTAGCAAAGGCCTATAAATTACAAATCTGGCTATTCAGAATCATAGATCCTTTGACAATGTAAACTGAAAAAAAAAAATGCGTGTTTCATCTATGTAACTAGCTTTTTGACCAAAGTTCTGCTTTAATAAACCAACAGCAGTAAAATCAGTCTGTATATGCAGTAAAGCATGCTTGTTATACTCACTGTGGAACCTAAGGGGTTAATCCTCTGCATTGTGTAAAAAAGCTCCTTTCTTCTCTGCCCCTCCTCTTGTTGAAATGACCACCTGATACAGACTGAACCCATGGTCACATGCTCAGTTTGGTGTGTATTGCTAGAGAGGTTTTTTTTTTTTTTTCTTGGGCGGGTGCATATGATCAGCACAGGGCCAATCAGCACTGTCCAGACAGAGGGTCAGAGGTTTCACATCCTCCTAGAGCAGAAAGAAAACTCTTCCTACAAGCTTTAACAAGTGCTCTGCTGAAGTCACAAGACTGTTTAACTGCTGATGAGAAAAGGTATTTAGCAATTTATATTTACTAAAATAATTGCATTTCCGTGTTGTGTGTACTGTGGGAGGCCAGATATAGTGAATGCAGGGTCCTGGGTTTGGTAACACTTTAATAATATTGTACACTTACAGCTCATTCACACAGGTAGCAGTCCCTTTTTTCAGAGGTGTCTTCTGAATGCCTGTGTTTATTTAGTTTTTTTTATATATAACCATGCCACAGACATGATCCAAGCGTTTGCACAGTCCCGTTGATATCATTAGTCAAATTTGACAGGTGGTGCCACCTATCAAACTTGATATACTGTGTTACAGGAGGTAACAGTGAGGATCAAATACCTGTTTCTACTGCCCCTTTGCTGCCTGTTTGAACTTAGTCTACAATTTTTTTTATATTATGTTATTTATTGTATGTTCTCTCCTGTTTCAGTAAAGGTTTTGTTTTTTTCCCTCTTACAAAGAAAGAAAAGTCAGAAATTTGTGACATATGCGTTGACACTCACAGGCACTTCGCAAAATTAGAAACGCATTATAAAAATGTGATTGGAAAGCAGTTTTTTCAAATCTAGACAGTAGGTGCGCACATGGAGACTTGATAGCTTTAAATTGATTAGTGGCACTTAGAATTGTAGAAATTAGCAGGCCTTGAGGACCAGTGGCTGCATAGGCTGCCAGGAGTTTTGGGGAAATTTTTTTTCAATGTCAGTGTAAGTAGGATTCTTGTAAAAGAGCATCCAAAAGCCTTAAAAAATTATTTGTGGAACTAAAAGAAAATTTTTCTGAGAGATATAGAGGCAGTCATTGCTATTTATCATTCTTAAAGCAGATCTTCACTTGAAAAAAACAGCTGGTTTGCATCTGGCTCTTCCGCCTTCCCTCTTTCACAATAAGATTTAATTTTTTTTTGGGTATGTATTTGTGTTTCTGACACTTTGTGTTGCATCACAACTCTTCTGTCCTTCTCCCCTAGGAGAGAAAGATGGTGTGCTCTCTGGCACTGATGGGTGCCAGCAACCCGCCAGATTCTGCTTGTGTGCAGATGTGTTGCAGGGCTTTGGGACCTGCTGGAGACCTGCAGCACATCACACACGTAAGGGATTTTCTACACATACAAGAATATAATGTAGGTATGAGGTCCTGGATCTTGGGGTACCTGTGCATGTGTGGGAAATCCCCTGCACATTCAGAGGTGTGCCACAGGTTTCTGTTTGGTCCTGAAGGCCGGGAAAAGCCCTTTGGGCACATGCTAGATTTTTAAAATGCTGGCTTCCTGGCTGTCATGTATCCATTTTCATCCTGTTACTTGAAACAAGACTGCAGATAAGGATGCCTCACTTTAAAGATATGAATACTTGTTCAGGCCATGACACAAACCTCACTCAACCCAACCGATCAGGAGGTGGTATGTCAGCCTGCGTGCTTAGGAAATAATGGAACCGTGCCATAAAAAAATGTACCTCTGTCACTAGTGTACAGCAGCAGTTTGAGCCACAGAGGCATTTAGAAAGCCTGTCTTCCTTTTTTGTATTTTGGTTTTTTTTATTAGCAAAGATTGTATTTAGATGTTTTGTTTTGCAGAGATAGATTTGTTTTCAGCCTTTGACATATAAATAAGTTATCCTATATGTTCCTCCCAAAAAAGACATCAAACATGTTTTATATTGATCATTATATATGGATGAGGAATTTTAAGTAAATTATACATACACATATACACAGTATATCAAATTTGTGTATGTATGTGTATATATATATATATATATATATATATATAAGTATTAACAACTATTTACCATTGTTAATGGTATTAATATGGAACGCCAACTAAAAGTTAAAAAAAAAAAAAATGGTAATCCTTAACAGACATTGAGCACCAAAGGGCAGGTGCTATGAACTACACAGGGTACTAGAAATCAAAAGAGCAAGATACAGAATCACTAACTAGCTTAAAGTGTATCTACACCCCAAAACAAAAGTGGGACATAATGCAGTTTATCAATCTCAAATGTGAGGGATGCTTTAGTTTAGTTTTGTTCCATTTTTTTTAATTATATGTAAACCCTCACCTTGTAAAACAACCCATTCAGTTTAAAATAGAAACTGGAGGCAAAACATTTGTGTATAGAAATAAAAATTATTATAAATACCTTTTTTTTTTTATCACATACCCTGCTGCACAGAGAGGTGAGGGTGGAGAAACAGCAGGACACTGGTCTTCCCTGTGCGAGGGGGTACCACGCTGTGCTCTCTTGTATAGTATGGGCAGTTTTTAATAGGAAAGCAGAGGGACTGGCAGGAACACCAGGGATTTCAAACATGATACAGCAGGCAATGGAGTCACCCTTGGACGGTAGCGCAGTCAGTCTGGAAAGAGGGTAGTGTTTGGCCCCTTTCACACAGGCGATCCGATCAGGGTCCACCTGTCAGTTTTTCAGGCAGACATGGTCTGATGGTCTATGTATTCCTATAGAATGGCAGGTGCAAACGGATTTCTGTCTGTTTACACCTGCATATCTTCAATTCAATCTAATCTGCTGGAAAAAAAATAATGGAAGGAATCCATTTCCTTCTGTCTAGACAGATTGGTTCGGAAGGTAGTCAGGGGTAAACTGACAGCCAGTCCCTTTACACCCAACCGCCCATAGAGCAAAGCGGGTTGTGACCCTGTCTGCTCTGCATAAATGGAGCAGGCACGGACCTGTCATCCGCCTGCTCTGCTGGGGATCAGCAGATAGATCACCTGCTAAGTAAAGAGGATTCTGCTCCGCATGTAAAGGACCTTTTTGGGATAAGTTTTACATAAATGAATAAAAGTTGATCATTGTAAGCATGACTGCCTGTCAAATGCCTCTAAAAAGTGATCCGAGTGTGTATTGCCTTTGAAAGGAGCAGCAGTCCTAAGTGATACAGAAGCTTTCTACATTTTTATATTCGGCAATGAGATTTCAGAGGGTAAGAAATTGTCAGCAAATTAACATTTACTGCAATCTGGGTTGCAAAAGGTTGGCAGGTCCCAGGGACTTCTTTGTGAAGACAAACAGGGACAAAGGGCATCCTTGTTAATTGCTATTAGTGATTGAGATGATAGGTGAAATGAAATTGGTTTGATAACTTTTTCCTTAGCTGGGGGTCGTGAATAAAAATTAAGGACTAAATTACAAAATTTAGGACAGAAGGCAATCATTTTGTGGAATGCCAAGTGAACTATCATTGAAACTGAAGGCCTTTT